TATTTTTATAGCAGCATGAAATAACCCACACATGTATCAACTGTAATAAAAATAAACTTTTGTGGGTGGCACCTATGGCTCAGTGGGTAGGGCACCAGTCCCATATACTGAGGGTGGTGGGGTTCAAACCAGGCCCTAGCCAAACTGCAACAAAAAATAGCCAGGCATTGTGGTGGGTGCCTATAGCCCCAGCTACTTGGGAGGCTGAGGCAAGAGAATTACCTAAGTCCAGGAGTTGGAGGTTGCCCTGGGCTGTGACGCCACAACATTCTACCGAGGGTGACAAAGTGAAACTCTGTCTCAAATAAATAAAAATAAACTTTTGTATCATCAATGAATACTCTACAGCCATGAAAATTAATAAACTTGAGATAGAAGAAACAACTTGGAAGAATTTTAAAAACATGATGTTGACACAAAAGTCAAATACAAAAAAATTGCAAACGACATTGTTTTATTTACATAAAGTCTGTTATGGGTTGAATTATGCCCCTAAAATTCACATGTTTAAGTCTCAACCCCCAGTACCTCAGCATGTAAGCATAATTTTATTCAAGTCTTTACTGCTGCTCATGACCTACTCTGTATTTTATCAGATCCCAAACTGTGCTGTTCTATACACCTGGCACACCCATTCACGCAGAGACAGTCAATCGCTTTGTCTTCACCATTCCTCTGGGGCCCTGACCCACCATTCCCTACACTCTTTGTTCTTCAGTCCCTCATGCAAGCTAGCATTGCAGTGTTGGCTTGGGGGCAGGGGGGATCGGACTGGGCCCACACCACAAAATCTCTGTCCTAGAACTGCTCACTAGTGGTCCCCATGCTCTGGTTCCTGGGCACGAAGCTCAGATGGAGACCCGGAGCAGAGGGGATGCTAAGGCCTGCGCCCAGAACATGAACCACTGAGCCCAAGGGGCTAGCCTCGGCGCCTTCAGGAGCCTCAGAAGGTCAACGTACTCCCACGCGCTGACCCCTGAGCCTGTGTTGGTTTGAAGCCTTTAAGAGAAGAAACAGAATGCTTCTGCCTTTTTGAGGAACTGAAGAATAACAAAGTTATCAGAAAATTCAGAAGAAAGCACTGGATCCGAAAGACTGGAAAATAAAGCAATGGTTTTAAAACACCCTTGGACAAACGGTAAGCAGCTGGTGAACCAATAAAAGTAGGAGACAAGGACTATTTCCCTTGCCTAACTAAGGCTTGTGAAATGTTACCTGATACAGGGAAAAGACCAGTTAACGCTGATGCTCCTTCTTTTGATGACTCAGTTCCTTCTAAAAGAGAAGCAACAGACAGTTTTTCAAAGTTTTTCACCCTGTGTTTTGAAAGGACTTGCAGATGGACAAATTTAAAAATTTCTTGACCTTGGTAATAAGAATTCATCATTTGAAGATGTAGATGTATTTTATTCTTTCTGATATAATTGTGGTCCTTGAAGAGAATTTTCTCCTTTAAATGAAAAGGAAAAAGCATTGAAAAGGAGAAGAGAGGAAAAAAGGGCACAAAGGAAAAGGAAGATATGAACACATAAGAACATTAGTTGACAATGCATATAGCTGTAACCTGAGGATAAAAATATTTAAGGATAAAAAAAGTGAAGAAGTAGAAAAAGTGGAAGAAACAGAGCAAGAAGCTAAAGAAAAACAAAGACAAGCTGAATTATTATAAAAGCAGAAATATGTTCAATAAAAATATATGTAAAGGAATAATTAAAAATATTCCCTTGCTAGTTCAGCACCAGTAGCTCAGCAGTAGGGCACTGGTCACATACACAGGAGCTGGTGGGTTAGAACCCAGCCCTGGCCAGCTAAACAACAAAAAAAATAGCCCAGCGTTGTGGTGGGCACCCATAGTCCCAGCTATTGGGAGGCTGAGGCAAAAAAGAATCGCTTAAGCCCAAGAGTTTGAGGTTGCTGTGAGCTGTGATGCCATAGCACTCTACCAAGGGTGACATAATGGGACTCTGTCTCAAAAAAAAAAAAACCTTGTTTTTACAGATATAGAAGATAAGGATCACTTGAGCCCAAGACTTTGAGGTTGCTGTGAGCTATGACACTCTACCTATCCAGGGCAACAGAACTTTGTCTCAAAAAGAAAAAAACCAGGGCAGTGCCTGTGGCTCAAAGGAGTGGGGTGCCAGCCCCATATGGCAGAGGTGGCGGGTTCAAACCCAACCTTGGCCAAAAACTGCAAAAAAAAAAAAAAGCCAAACCCACAAGTATGAACTTAGTTCGTTGTCCTCTCTCTTTTTCAACAGGAGAAACAAAATAAATAAAATTGAAATCTTGCCCTATAAAGTCAAAACGCTGCAGGAAATCTGATCTGGAGCCCTGAAAGTCAGTTTTTTTAAATAAAATAATAACTATACATCAATGCGTTTATGTGATACAATGTGCTGATTTTATATACAATTTGGAATGCGCAAGTCAAACTGGTTAAGTTTAAATG